TCATACTATTAAATGAGGTGGAGAAATCCACTCCATGCTATATAAAGTGGTGAAATGCATTGCTGCATATCATCTTCTTCTTCACCACTTGTCTTAGGCAGCCATGGAAATGGAGAAACCAACCCTGCAACTCTTGGCCAGCAGCTGCAAATAATTTGGTTAGTAATCTCCTTGTTTGGTGTGTTAATTCTTTAGAATACCTTTGTTAATTACCCATTAATTTTAAGAAGGGGGCGTGACCAGTAGCTTAGGAAGTTTGTTTTAGTTATTGAATGTGCTAAGTATGAACGGAAACCATAATCGGATTATTAGTGGTGTCGTGTTGGTGCTTGGGCTGTTTTGATTAAAGCAAACTATGGGAAAATTCTGTTTTGGCATTATGTATATGTTAAATGTGATTATGAGTATATAATCCAAAGGATGAATACAATAAGGTAGATGTGTTGCGAATTGTAAAACGAATTATCGCTCGGTGTGTCGTTGCTTCGCTGCTATGGTTGCCGAGACAGAACTATTTTGGGAAGGAAGCTGTTTAATATGATTCGTTGGGTTATATGTGTTATTGGTATTGCTGTGGATAATTTGGGTTGTTGTCGGATTGGGACGAAGTAAGGAAAATAGGGGAGGTGCTGCCGAATTTTCGTTAGATTATTAGCTAGCTTACAAGAAAGTAAAGCACGATGTTTATCTAATTGCGGCACGATTGTTGCTTGTTATAGATTAATAGCTTGAGCAGTAAATATTGGACGTGCGGCTCAATTATACGGTATGTAACGCTGTCCCTTCTTTCTTTGTTTGGCATGACTTTTAAAAATAAGCGAATAACGGACAGGTTTGATACTTACCTCTAGAGCGTCTAGGTGACGTATATTCTTGCTTCCACAATTATTCCTCTATATATCGGCTATGTCTAAGGCTATGATGATCTCTCATATCTATGGTAGTGCTTCTTAGAGTCATTGAGATTTTACGTTTCCATATCGTATTGAAGGTTCATAACCTTGATAAAACATTAATCTTTGGTAATACTCCTTGCTGGTTCACGTTGATTGTTCTATTGAGTTATAAGAAATGATTTTAATTGCATATGGTTGCTCATAATATTCTGTCGTGCATAGAGTCATTTATCATTTCACCGAGTCCCGGGCCGGGTAATATTCGTGCGGAGTTTCTTGCATATGTCACCGAGTTCCTCACTAGAGGGCCGGGTATGTATATTATATATATGATTGGTGATGAGGATGGTTATGATGATGATGATGACGGAGATGACGTGATGATTATTTTGCCGAGCCCCTTACTAGGGAAGCTGGGCACCTTAAATGTTAAATATATGCATGATTTTCACTTAAAAGGGTATATGTGTAGAGATATTTTGTTTCGACTTGCCATATTGGTATCCTGTCATCTTTACCTTATGCTTTACATACTCAGTACATTGTCCGTACTGACCCCCCTTTCCTCGGGGGGCTGCGTTTCATGCCCGCAGGTGTAGACGCACAGTTCGGTGATCCTCCCGCCTAGGATATCTACTTTGCCGATTGGGAGAGCTCCACTGTTTCGGAGCCCAGTCGTTTTGGTACACAACTTTTTGTGTAGTCTTTTACTCGTCTATGGGTATGGCGGGGCCCTGTCCCGTCGAGTTTCATTACTGTACTCTTAGAGGTATGTGGACATTATGTGGGTTGTATATATATGTTTTGGATAATGGTCTGGACATGGTTTGTTTGGGATGTCCGCTTGTACAGGGGCAGCCTTGTCGGCTGCGTACATCATTATGCTTTGAATAGTGGCGGCCTTGTCGGCTCGCGTATGCTGTTATGGTTGAATGGTTATGACTCCTTATGAGATAGGTCCTCTTATATATATATATATATGACGTTGGGGTTGACTTGATTTGATTAAATTCCATATTGTCTTAGTTTCAGTTGGTCATACTTAGCAGGTTTGTATGTTGGTGTCCAAAACGGGCACTAATCACGGCCTATCGGGTTGGGTCGTGACAATTTTGTTTAAAAAAGAATGATTCTTTTTCTTTTTTTGATAAAGTTTAAACTTTAACTTTCCACGAGATTAAAAACATTTTGATACATTTGACATAACTTTAATTTAGATACGCAAAATTAAAAATCTTGTTTCTTTTCTTAAACTCCATTCCAAGTCAAATAGATCATCCTTTTTTAAACAAAAAAATATGACTGGAAAAAGTCAATATTAAAAATAATAATTATTTTTTATTTCTAATTTAAAACATTAACATAAAATATAAAAATTCTCGTCCTTATACGTTACGTCGTTACCTATTTGATAGGCTATAAATTCAGATACCAAACCTTTAGGCTTTATGTCTAGGTATCCATTAATTAAAAAGACGTGAAGGAAAAAGACGAGAAGTGACTCACCTGCCATTCGATTTCTTTTTAGAAGTAATAAAATAAAGAAATTCTAACTTGCTCTTTTTAAAATAAAGTTTTGGTCGTTCCTAATTATTTATTTATTATGAAAAATTGAGGAGAGGGAAATAAATTAGGAAGCGGGGAAGTAAATTCTAATTAACAAGATGAAAATATCAATTGAGTGGTTAAAATATTTTAAATTGTGAATTAAAGATTTTATGTGTCTTTTCATATTTAAAAACAAACTTCTTTATTTTTATAAGAGAAGGATGAGATCGATAGAGCTAATATAATAAGACTTTGATCTAAAATCAGATGTCGATGTAAGGTAAAGCATCCACTTCAATTTTACATGATAATTCAAAATTTTAAATTGTCTGTAAAGTAGAATTTTAAATTTCAAATTAAACTTTTATATACATTTAAAACTTAAAAAGAATAAATTTCATTTATACTTTACAGAAAGAAAGATCAACTTTTTATTTTATCCAATAAATTTTTGGAGTTTGAAAAAGTAACCATTGAATACTCAAAACAATTTTAAATAGGGCTTGTGCGAAGAAAGGTAAAAATTAAATAAGAAGCACGCTTCTGTCGGCGGATAAAAAGGAGGAAATTGCTCTGTATACTTCTCCAGAACGGCAGTCCCCTGAAATTGCTCTGTAGTTTTTGGTCGCGGTCATTTTCAACAATGGAGTATCGTACAAAAAAGAAGATTATTTTTGTGAGGAGCTTATTTGTTTATTATCCTCATGAATATGATCGATCATCATTCTTATTTATGGTGGGCCGTACCAATTATTGCTAAAATATTTCTATCCTCTTCTCTATTACTTCACTTAACACTCCCTTTGCCTGTTTTTGGGACTGCAATATTCGCAAAATTCTTCAAATTTTCTTCCACTTCACATTTTTTTCTTTTCCAGATTTTGAGCATAGGTTATTTTTAAGAATCAACATGTTTTTGTCTATTTGCTATTCTAGAATCAACATGTAGCTCTACTATTTACTTTTATTTATGTTCTCAACATGAAAAAAAATTGGTGCTGTTTTGTGATCCAGACTTGAAAGCATTTTGGCATAAATCATAATACACACATATTACCATTTATGGCTTCAGCAACATTTATGCCCCTCCGTCCTAATGCTCAAGTATACACTTAAAATTATATAAAATTGAATAATTAGACATGTATATTATATGTGCGTAAGGTATGAGATAATTTTTTAATTTTATATAAAATTAAAAGCACATAAATATTGATTAAAGTCAAATTAAAATTCATATTCATGTATTATGACTGTTTTTATATTTGGAACTTTTCTGACTTTGGGGTTCTCAGTTTTCTTATTTATGAGGACTGAATTTAAGGGTCATATAAGTAAAATGAAATAATTATGTTCATATTAAATTAAATAGATTATTTATATTTTTTTAAATGGGTTAATATAATGTTTAATTTATTTAAGCTTATGTAAATATAGTCAAAATGGTTAGCATGAGAATCTATATTCAGCCTATATAAGTGAGAAATGAAATAATTTTTTTTAATTTTTGAAAAACAAAAAAATATAGGAGTCCATTGGTGGAAGGTGAATACCGCATGGTGGGTTCCGAGAAAGGGGGTAAATCTTTTTTTTTGTTTTTGAAAAACAAAGGGATAATGGATAAATACCCGCTTAAAAAATCTCAGAGACACATTTATACCATATTAAGGTTCTATTATTCATCTGAACTTATTTTATAAGTAATTTTCTATTCCTTGGACCCACAAAATAGTGCCTCTGAGGTTTTGGGCATAGGTTGAAAGTTTAATTGTGCATTTTCCCCAAAACAAAAAAATTAGAAGTAGGTGGGTGTGGGGGGGAGGGGGGGGGTTGCGGGGGAGGGAGGTGCCAGGGGAGGGGGTAAATTTTTATTTTTATTTTTGAAAGAATAGATTTCTTTTTATTTTTCGAAAACAAAAATATTTTAGGGATAGATTGGTGGAAGGTCGAGGAAAGAGGGTGCGTGTAGGGAAGGGTAAGTTTAAAAAACAAATTTATTTAAATGGGTTAGAACTATTTTCCCAAATTATATTTGATCAAATTCATATTTGTTCATATTATAATTGGATGAATTGCAATCCAAACCATTTATTTTCTCAATTCATATTCAAATCATCCAAATACAATCCAACCATTTGTCACTCCTAATCAGTATCATTGTTAATAGTAGAATTACCTGTTCAAATAACAGCTCCATAGTACTCCTGCTCGCCTTTTAATTTATTTGGTCTCTCAAGTTGTACATATTTGTTTATAATATATTTATATTATTTTAATGAATATAAGTAAATGATAAAGTAGAATTATAAGATACCACGAGATGATAAATTTAAATATTTGATATAATAAAATTTAAATAATAATTAAAAAAATATTATATTTAAACATAGTAACCGTACAATACATATTCCAAAGCAGGTGTTGTGGGATCTTCGTAATAATTAATTGTGGGCCTGAGGCATCAATTATTCCTAAGCTTTTGGTGTTGGAATAGTGGCATTATCTTAAAACCTTAAACAAGGTTTCCTTTCCTCTTCAAAATTTCTTCTCTGAGTTATAGAATTTTGTAAGCAATTCACCTACAATATAATAACTTTGTTTTTTCTAGATTTTGAGCATAAGCTCCCAAGAAAACTCAGTATTATTGTTAAGGGCGAAACACTTTCCCGTCAGTGCCAGTGCATCACAACCCATGTTGATATGAAGAAATAATTGTTAGAATAATTGTTAGCTAGTGATTACGTGTGACTTCTCGTAGCTAAAAGACAGACATAAGTTTTGTATCTAAGGCGTAATTCTTGAATCTCTGAAACTCTTACCCTGATAATACTGTGCATTTTTGCTTAGACCAATATCGACCATGTCAAACTACCACCAGAATATGTTGTATAAACTTCTACTTCATTCTTAACGGTCTCTTTACTTTTTTTCTCCAGGTAGCAACATACTATGACTGGCAGCATGGAAGATGGTTTGTTAGATGAGAATAGTATCAGAAAAGCAAGTCGGCAATTCCATGTTACAACAAATCTTGTTTTGAGCACCTCAGTTGCTGCCTGTGGTTACTTTGCCTATGGATTTGCTGTAAGTATTACTTGTCAAGGTACGGGGAATACATGAGATTTTGAGGTGTGTTTATGAAGGAACGTCATTTTTCAATTACTTTGGATAAGACTGAATGAAGCATCCATATTGTGAGAAATGCATAAGATTTGGTTCCTTGTGAGATCCAAGAGTCCTCAGTACATGTTTTTATTTCCACATATCTATGCGAACAAATCTTGTTCCTCATGAATGTATTTACAATTTAATGGTAGGACACACTGCATATGTTCTAAGCACTATAACATATTTCTCAAACTGTAGTGTAATGTTTAATGAACTCAGGAGATTAGGCTAAAGGGTTGTCACTGATAGCGCTTGCTGTCCGTGTGTCCTTTTCAGGCTGGATATTCATCACCTGCTCAATCAGGGGTCATGGATGACCTGGGACTCTCTATAGCAGAAGTAAGTATCTTACAACCTTTTTTCGTGTGTACGGAACAGCTCTCTCACACTGACCTGATTAGCTGTTCTCAACCTGTTCTGAGATCTTAGACATTGTATAAAGAGGTCCAGATTCTTTATCTAGGTGTTCGTTTTTCATTTATGTGAATGTACATTTTGTAAGTGAACTCATGATCCTCACTGAAGTCCCATTACCTGCTAGCCCAACAAAATGCATTTCTCATCAGGAGATTTTCTTTTCCAACTAAATAATATCAAAATAAATGGATACACAAAAAACCTAATACATCTCTTTACATAGTCTGATTTTTTCTTTTTGTGTAGTACTCAGTTTTTGCTTCAATCATGATATTTGGAGGAATGATTGGGGCTCTGATAAGTGGAAAGGTGGCTGATATTTTTGGCAGGAGAACTGTAAGTCTCTTTTCCTTTACTAAATTTATTGAACTTTTACTTGTAAAAAAATCACTGAACCTGAATCAACTTTTAAAGTTTCTAATTTGGTTTATAATTCATACAGACAATGTGGCTTTCGGATTTATTTTTTATCATGGGCTGGTGTTCAATAACCTTTGGCAAGGTACAGAGAATGTATTTTACCTCATATACACAGGGAAATTACTTTTCTCCTCTCTTTCCGTTTGTGTGTGTGCGCGCGCACCCTTTCCCTCCTCCCTTTATTTCTTCCAGTCAGGCCATGTAACCGTGTTAAGCAAATATGATTATCTGGTTCAACTTACGAGTTTGTGCTTGTTGAAAGAGAGTTTGGTGGCTTGATGCTGGAAGGTTGCTGACGGGAGTTGGTGCAGGAATCCAAATATATGTGGTAATTTCTTTTACATTTTCTGGATAACTTTTTTCTGTCCGTTGAACCAAGAAAGGTCTGATGCATGATATGACCAGAATTAAATTTCAAACAGGGACCTATATACATTTCAGAGGTCACGCCGAAAAATATCCGAGGGGGCTTTGTAGCAGCTGCTTCAGTAAATAAAAAACTTTGTTGATTTTGATTGGTTGGTACATTTTCTCTCTGTATAAGCCTTGATGTTTTTGCAGTGTACGCTGACTCTTGGCTTCTCACTGGTGTATTACATTGGGAATAACATGAGCTGGCGCACTTTAGCTCTTGTAGGTAAGCATTCAACAAAGAGAATTTCAAAAAGAAGATGCCTGATTATATAGAGGTTTCCATTTCTTGAAATTGGTTGAACTTCCAGGTGCTATCCCTAGCTTTATACAGGTGCTAGGTGTATTCTTCATACCGGAGTCTCCTCGGTGGTTGGTGAGTTAGTAATTTCCAAAGAACAAGCAGGTGGCATTAACTAATCATTGTGCTACAACTATTTTAAAAAGAAAGATAAAAGGGAAATATGCTAATCTATTGACAGTCGAAAATTGGTCTGGAGAAGGAGGTAGAAGCATCACTACAACGTCTGAGGGGAGAAAATGCTGATATTTCCACTGAAGCAGCTGAAATAAAAGTAACAAAATGATCTAAAATGTGTAACTTAGCAGTGTTGTTTACCTGTTTGTCTCTTTCACACTTTTCTGTTGAAGTCTAGTTTCCAGAAGAGCAGTTAGCACTGAAATCTCTCTATTTAACAGGACTTTACTGAAACAGTTCAGCAACACTCAGGATCCACATTTATGGATTTATTCAGTTGGAAATATGCTCGTCCACTAATTGTAAGCTTTACGTATAACCCCAAGTTGAAACACTTTAGGAGTCTGGATGATATGTCTGATACTTCTGCCGGTATTCATTATTATTAGATTGTAGTCGGGCTAATGGCTCTCGTGCAGTTAGGAGGGACCAATGCAATAACTTCTTTTGCCAGTTCAATTTTTAGAGCAGCTGGTAAGAACACTCAGAAATAAACTTCTGTTTTAAGTTGACAGCCTTTTGTTTATAGGGATATATCTAAAAGTTAAGATCACTTTACAAGGTTGTTCAGCAGACTCCGCATCTCAAGTCATGGCTGTTCTCCAGGTTCTCAACTCTTACTACTCCAGTTTAATAAAAGACTGCTAAATAACACTCAAACAATCATTCTTCATTTCAGCTTCCATTTGCAGTCGCAAGTATTATCCTCACAGAAAAAGCTGGGAGACGACTTCTTATGCTTGTAAGAATAATGACTGCAGGTTCATATCCTTTGCCGATAAAGTACAATTTTAATAAGCCTCAACACTTCGTTTTCAGGTTACTTCAGCTGGGACTTGTTTAGGGTGCTTGCTTGTAGCACTGGGGTTTCTTTTCAAGGTGCTAAACTTGGTGATATACAATCAACTTCTTCAGTTACGCATCTGCTTTTGCTACATTCATGTCATTCTGATTCTGCTTTATCATGAGCAGGGTTATCATTCATCAGCAGAGCTAACTTCTTCAATGGTGTACACTGGCATACTGGTTTGTTAAAACAACATCCTTTTATTTTTTATTCATGTCCTTACTGTTTTGAACACCTATACCTTGCCAAACCCCTTACATTCTCATTCCACCTCCATATTCTGTAAACAGCTCTTTTCTGTATCTTTCACAGTGGGAATGGGAGGTACACCCTGGATCATCATGTCAGAGGTGCGTCTTTAAGATGTCAAATTCAAATATCTATATATGTTATAGAGAGTCAGACAAACCATTAAGTGAATCTCCGTTTCAGATACTTCCGATAAACATCAAGGGTTCTGCAGGAAGTCTTACGGCATTGATCAACTGTTTTACTTCTTGGATAGTTTCTTATGCTTTTAATTTCCTATTCGAGTGGAATGCAGCAGGTAATGGCACTCTCCATCTGTTACTTAAGCTTGTTTGATGGTATCACTATTGATTTATTAAATTCTGTTGTAACTTGCAGGAACATTCTTCTTGTTTGCATTCTTTTGTGGCTCGGTTGTTGTATTCGTTGCAATGCTGGTACCAGAGACCAAAGGAAGGACACTTGAAGAAATCCAGGCATCGATGACATTACTCCAATGATATCATATGTTCTTTAACCTTCATTCCCATTTTGAACTTCATAGTTCAGACTACTTTATCATTCAGAACTGAAACACACGTGTATTGTGATTATATTGATGTTTGTTACGTTCCTATTTAAATCTTATCCAATATATCATACACATATGAAGCACTGCTTCAGGATGTTGAAAACCAGACCACTTTGCTTCAAGGATTTTAGTCTTCCAACAACTTCTGTGGTCGATTGAATTCGTTGGCTACTATAACCAAATTCTGGTCAGGCCGAAAAGGATAAGTTATAAATTGTGCACAAACTTTTGAAACATGACTATCTCCCCACAAGAGCACTTCACGATAAATTTACTAAAGCATTTGCAGGAACATTGTGAGGATCATAACTGTTAAGACTCCGGCAACTTTTCAACTGCTGTAAGGTTCCAAAAATTAGTACTAGTCTTGACCTGCACACCAAACTGATGGCCAATGAATTTCTTATCAACACAGCTATATGTGAAGGGAACATTAACTCTGCTTTGGAATTTAGTAATATCTGGATTGGTTATCTGAGGATTATAACTAAGAATATTCTTGATGGTGGTTGAAAAGAACAAACTCAATTCAACAATGAGAAAGAACAAACTCATTTCTACAAAAATAAATCCAAAGTCGCAGACTCATTTCCCGAACCTACAAACAACTAAATTATAAATGCCAACACAAAATCTCACAACCTTATATTCCACAGAGGTCTTTGAAGGCTCCAAAGTCAAATCATATAAAGATCTTGAGCAATTTAAGTTAAACCAAAACAGTGGATATATCGGAGATCTACTTTGTTGCTCAATGTCAGAACTCATTGCTATGTTATTAAGTAATTTATGTATTGGTCCTTTGGAAACAAATCTTGAGTAGATATCTGCATTACGAGGGTCAAGGAAAACAAAAACACCATAAAAAAAACAAGTATCCATATAGTAAATGTTAACCGAAGTTTAGTTTACTGTTTTCTTTGGACAGAAAAACATACTGAAACAAGTGGATACAGAAATATTGAAGGACCTGCAAATTAAACAGTGGTACTTCGGGAAACAAAGTGTAGAAAAGATAACTTATCACATCTCTTATCCATCAATTTGGGCCGGCATACCTCCACTGTGTAATTATCCTTAGAGCTTGAATGAACCATCACTTGCATTCAATTTATTAAGGGAACTCAGATGATTCCCAAATCCACTGGACAATAGCAGCAATGGGGAAGGAGAAGCACGTGTGCAAAGCAGTCGTCCTCACGGCATGCAAATGAAATCTGAGAAACCAGTTAGCTGGTATAGCAGAGACAGACCTTTCAATATGAACAATTTTGAAGGAGACACTGGGGATGCACAAGGGCGATTCTTAGTAGAGAATGCAAGGCTCTCTTTGGGCTTCCAGATTATATATGCAAACCAAAAGATCAATCAAGACGAAGTATAGTTTTATAGAAGTGAAGCAAGTAAATCAATATTTTTTGTTTGTTTGAATTGTGAGAAAACTACAAACACTTGGAGTGCATTTGCTTCCTTCAAACTGGTTGGTTGTAAAATACATCACGTACAATGACTGCCAAGAGAAAAATCCCACCGAAGTTCCTTATTGGCAAACATCAGTCAATTCTGTATCAGATAGGCTTATACCAAATTACCTGTTGTACCAACATCTTGTCTACAATAATTAATTCCAAGGTACAAACACTTGGCCTGTAAACAATGGCAATAACCAAGACCAAGTTAGTCATTTCATACCTATCATAATAGATACTACCAACTAAAACTCAAAAGAGCTTTACCTTCAAAACCTTACAATATCCATTTGGCCTCGAGTGAGTTTTGGTAACAATTTCCGACAAAGAAACGTCAGAAGTAGAGCTCAGAACCTCTCCTTAAGGCCAAAGCTTACTGTGAAAGCATGCATATCATCTGAATGACAGTATTTTGATGTCGCAGGTGTAAAGCAACCATACCAAACCACAGTTAAAATGGCCAGGCGAAAAGGAAGCACAACAGAAGATGAAAGAAACTTTGGAAGGGTGAATTAGTAAACCTAAGTGGTAGCTGCATCGAGGCTGCTAAAACCAACTCCTCAACAACCCTTGAGAAATCATACAAAGTTTTATTGAACTTCCACGGAAGACAAAACTTCCACATTCACATGGTTTATATAATGGAGCAGAGACAGTCATAAGAATAAGTAAAGAGGAAGGTCATGCGTAATTTCATGAAAAGGTTGGTTTGGTGGGGGGGAGGGGGGGGGGGAAGTGAATTTTGCCAAACCAAAACATGGAATCAGCTCAAAAGCTTTCAAATCTGTCATGGCTGCAAGTATCAGCCTTATAAGACAGAGAAGATGCATCATGAAATGGAACTTATTCTTAAATCTCATATACCCCACCCGAGGTGCCATGCTAAGCAACAGTTTTTCAGCTCAAGAGATAACATGTTAAATAGTTTTTTGAGTTATACCAGATAGAGTAATAAGAACAAAAAAGTAGAAGGCTGCGTAGTTTCACCAAAAAGGTGATTTAGTGACAAAAAAACTTGAACTTTGCGATGCCAAAATACGAATCTCAAAAGCTTTGGAATCCAGCATGGCTGCAAGCATCAGTTTGCCTATGAGCCATCAGCATGAATGGTTTACCATCTTTTGACTCCCCATCGCCTGTACTTGGGCACTCCCCTTAAGCTTGTAATTTGCTATTTCAGATGTTGACAAGTTTCATTTTCACACTTGGCCTAAAGAGAGAAACATTAGGTCGTGTGAGTAACTAATATATTTTATTGAGATAATATCAGAAAGACACCTACCCTTCCCAAGAAATTTGATAAACATTACCTTACATCAGAGAATACACTGTCACCACAATTTGGGATAGAAGATTGATCACATTGATGGGATGACAGCCATGGAAGCTCCGACCAGATAACTTCTGCGGAATGATGCAGTTTCCTTACAGCTCTACTTTGTGCATGATGGAAAAGAACATTAATTAGTAGCACACATTTCCTGTCATCATTGACTATTAACACATACAAGCACAAACGGACAAATTACTTGGCATGAGTGGCACATCATGAACAGTCTTAATATTATTGTACGAGTTGTGTATAAGAAAATTTATTTGAAAAAAATTATGATACTAGAATGGATTATCGGAGGAAAAATAGTATCAATTTTCATATAAAGCATAAGGTCTTATCGTCAGAAGTAGCAAAGAAACATAAGAACTCAATGAAGACCCTCCCGGTCACTGCCTATTTTGCAAGCAACACACAGGTGCAACTATAGTGTCAACGATTAAGTCTGCATGAAAGCACGACTTTCCATTTACTGATTCTCAAAACATTAACAAAATCAGAAAAGACGAACCATATAATTCCCCATTCTCTTAGACTTTTACCTGGCACAATTTTCCATTTTTAAGAAACAATCAAAGTAAAAAGGTGTAATGACCATGTAAAGGAATATGAGCACTGAGTGCATTTACGAGAGTTTGTCCAATTGAGTGTCTTCATTTTAAAATAATTAAATTACTTCATCCTTCAAGAACAAATCCACAACTTTCCATTCAATACCCTTGAAAGGGTAAATTAGTATCGACTCTGTTTAAAAACAAAACCTCAACAAGCCTTGCGAAATCATTCAAGAAAACCCCGACAGAAATAGCCTCCGGCATTCATCCCCATCTCCACTGAAAAAGTTAAACAAATTCTTGATTTTTTAAAGAAACAAAAAAGATTTCTTGAATTTCCTGTACTCATATTCTTGAAAACTACAATTTCTTTAATTTCCTTAAACATGCATATAAGAATACCAAAGTAACTTCAAAAATCCAAGAATGCAGGCAAGAATTTCAGGAAAATCTTGCAACACCAAGATAATGGGAAAAGATAAAATATTACTCGATGGCGGGTTTAGGGGTTTTCATCCGGTTGCGTACTCCGGTAGCGTTATGAAGCCTGAAGAGTACAGAGGAGTCGCATTTGAACACGCGGAAAAATATAAACGCGTTAATACAAAATATATTATTTTTTTATAGTAATTTTTTCAGTAGTACTTATTTATTCTTTTAATTAATAAAAAGAGTTTATTCCATTGATAATATATAACTTACATGGAATTTGTTGTTATCATTTATAACTTAAAATTATTTAACTTAGACTATGAAATTTATAATTCATAACTTTTATCCTACTTTATACATAGTAAATAGACTTTTTAAAAATTATTAATATAAAATTTAGCCCAAAATAATTGTAATTCAAATTCATAGTCGAACTATGCATCCATTTCTATTGACCATAATCTCATAAACTTTCAACATATTAATATTACTTTATTTCAAAAATAACTCACTCTTCGTGCAACAACAAATTAAATATTATTTTTGTATACTTGAGTATTACAATTATTTTAAATGTTAATACATATTTTTAATTATCTCAAATACACCACAAATTAGATTATACAACCAAATCAAATAATTGTCTAATAAGTTATTCTGGACATGATTACAAAATGATGTCTTTATACATAAAATAAACAAAAATAACTCACAGTTTAGGTCTGGAATTTTCTAAAAATAAAAGATTAGCCTTCAACAAATAAATGAGAGACTAAAACCTCCATTGCTTTAATTGCTTCATACAATTACTAATTTTAAATTAACTCCTCAATTAATTATAGCATTGAGATTGGATAGGTAAAACAAAATGACCATGTTTCAGGAAGGAATTAAACCCATGTGTAGAGTTTTGTTAACCACCTTACTCAATAAACATGGTAGAATATCTCTAGATATAAGATTTTGAGCAATAAACATGGTAGAATCCATAAGCATAAGAAAGTAAAAAATAAATAATAGAAATTCAGGGTGGTAAAACTCGAACACGCTATAAAATAAGTCTTACGAGAAATCACTTAAAAATATGATTCAACAAATTGTTGGGTAAGAGCTCAAGCTTGAACAATGAAAACGGTCCCTCCATGCTGGAAAATGTACCAATTTCATTCACCAAATATAGTGATCAACAACAGAAAAAACCTGCAGTGGTGGGCTTGTAAATCAGAAGTCATGTCTAAGCAAATTAAGAAAATTAAAAAACGAGGACTTAACAGAGGGGCTTCTGAGTCCAAGATACCTGCCCATGTTTCAGGTCTTATTTTGCCCGATGTGTCATACCATGGAACGGCAAGAAACAAGGGAAGAAGGGACTTCATAGAAGCGCTTGGTTCTAAAGAGAGGCTCATTTATGTCGCAATATCTCGTTCCAGGACCACGTTCAAGTTCCCTCAAGGCAACTTATGAGAGGCTTCAACTCCCTTGGTCACTTCAATTAGTGATCCATCAGGTGGCAGCGTAGCCAAGAGAGCAACGGTCTGCAAACTTCCCTTCTTAAGAGCGCTTGCATAGTCGGTGGAATTCCACTAGTCGGGTTGACAGGTTGTGAAGCTATAAATTTTTACTACTGGGAGGGGAATACCTAATGTTACCAGATAAAGAGAGGTGCCTGTTCATTTCATTTTGGATTTTCAAGCAACTACTCCACATAGAAACTAATCCAAGCAACCTGCTCACGAAATAACAACCAAAAACTTGCTCCTATAAAGAGAAGATACGCTGGAGGGACAGAGTAGATATGTGAGTAGTATAATTGATAGTTGATACATATACCAGTCTGTATTCAGGATTAAGTGAGTCTATATCTTTTGCAATTAACAGTACTGCATTTATAAAAAAAAATCGCATTGCAATGTTAACTCCATAAAAGCACCAATGTATAGAATCTCTACACTAAGCCATTAAAATAGCTACACAGATGGGCAATAAATCAAAAAATATTCCAGCACCTGATCCATGAGCCAGTGAGGTTTCTGCTCCTTCCTTTCAATGTTAGAGAATGCTGAGGATTTCTCCATCCGTGTACAAATCATCCATATTACATTCAACCTGGAGAGGACATGCTATGTCAACCAACTTAAATAACGTGGAGAAGAATATAATGATTACGAATGCAATATAGTGATTCAAATATAGGATAAACACAGAAGGAACAACATTATTTCTTGAACCTCAACATTCATCACTACAAAACACTAATATTTATCCAAAAAACTAAGAAAGGTAAGACCATCAATGTTTCTTTTTCTAGAAAGAAATTGAATCCTTTAAGCTCCTAATGACAAGCATAGTAACTGCTAGCTTTTAATAAAGAAAATAGCATCTAAGTTTGCAAACTTCCAAAACTCTTGAATTTAAACAAAAGAGACACATATGAACTTTCAACATCATCAAAAATCACGTTGTTTGTACGTTTTATCTTTACACATACATTTTTGTAAAGATCACTTCAATTTAAGAGAATAAAGTTATCTTTTTGATCTGAACAATTGTAGGAACTTCCTATCAGGTTATTAGAATTAGAACATAGAAAAGTAATGTATTCCAATCACCTTTTTAAATTAAGCAAAACAGAAAACACCCTATATATCACTCTATTTTTCTTCAGTAATATCACAATTGAAATATAAGAGAGTAAGACATTATTTGATTAAAGTATTAGTTGTGCAATCATGTGGTAAATGATAATGTGGGGATTATTACATGGTGAAAATAAATGAGTAATGCTATGCAGGGACCATCTACATTAAAGGGAATTTTTTTCCTGTAAATACTCATTCCATGCATTATTGACAAATGTTATTATTCCATAAGCAATGCCCGCATAAAATAATACATAGATTCTTGCATAAGTCATGAGGATATTAATAATGACAGTTAAATACCACAAACCAAAGTTGCATTAGTTATCTCGACCTTATTTTTCTTATGTGCCTAATTGAGCTACATACTTATGCGGATATTACTTTTTCATAAGCGGCCCACAAATATTAATAGTAATATTTATGTGGAAGTTATGTTACAGCTCTACTTTCTGCACAATTGGAGGAATAATGCACGATTGTTCCTTACAGTCTGAACGATTGTAGGAACTTCTAATTATGTAATCAGAATTAGGAAATAGAAAATAATGTAAATTAATTACCTTTACTGATTATGCAAACAATTTCTCCCATCCTTTGTGCATTTACTATACAGTGTATCTTTATTCCCAATAATGCCTAATCTCAATTCTTATGTCCTAATAGTTCATGTCACTTCATAATCCTGTATTAACAACTTCAATCAACACTATATTACCTTTCCCTTATAAGACTGATTTGCAAATGGTTTACATGTACTTTAACTTCTTGAATGTATAATACGATAGAGGCAAGTATTAGAGAATGTTACCACAAGAAATGAGCCAGATGTTGGTTGCTTGTGAATCAGATTTAAGTTCCCGTTTTAACCTAAACATATGACTTTATTCTAGAGTTAGTGTTCAACTTCAATGAATGTTGCAAAATTTAGTGGAACGGAATTTCAGGTAAATGGCAATTTTATCAAGTTCCATAGACTGGTTGGTGATGAAAATCTAAACAAAGAACCGTAACTTACCTGGTAGATGATATTGAAGCTTGAGAATGAACTTTGCAGATCAAACTCCAATTTTGAATTTGGTCAGTATAGTTGTGTAATAATTGGTAACCAGTTTCAGGCATGATCTACAAAAGCATGGTAAAAGACTCAAAATCAATATTACCTATGACAAAGAGTTTCAAGTCTTCCCCACAAGACAAGTGGCACAAGGCAAATCTATTTCAAATTAGATGACCATAAATGTACTGCTTCATGCTCGAAATCAAGATAGGTGGTTGTCCTCTTTTGTCCAGATAAGACCTGATAATTCACTAAGTTACAGACTCCATGTTGAAATGACACATCAATGAGTTTTTAGACAATCATTACCTTCTCATGAAGTTCTTCCAAACTGATTCGCTCATCTGCAGCATGCTGTAGAACATGCCAATGAGTGTAATGCTCAACAAAGATAAATACTAGAATTAAACAAAACATTATAATTCTTGACTATGTAAAAAGGCACGCACATTTATTATGACATGGGAAAGCATGCATAACATCTGAATAGCAGTATTTTGATGTTGCTGGAGTAAAGGAAGCATACAAAACAATAGTTAATTAAAATGGCCAGACAATAAGGAAGTATAATAGAAGTTGAAAGAAACAGTCACAAATGTTTTCTTCATAAGCTGGGCTAAAAGTACCTAAGCACGAACCTGTATGTTCTACCTCAACTTCAGCTAGAATAAACAATAAAAACATCTCTACATACAGAAGTGATCAACAAAAGTTATATTTCATCCCCTGCCCCTTCTCTTTTGGGGACTAAGAACAGGTATAGAGAGTATTTTATTGCAAATGAAGAACTATACAAGCGATGTACATGAACATCTTACAATAAAAGCAAATCTAAAGTGTAAGCATCAATATTTTGTGGTGCACGGCCATACAAGTTTGCCCAATTACAAATAAAACCACAAAACGATAAATAAAACATCTGTGAAAAAATACTAATGAGCACAAACCATCAAACAGCCTATCAGTTGAATAATGTATGCAATCCTATAGACTAGAAGAATCATTCAAAGTTACAAACATCATAGTTATCAGGCTAAAAAAATTATGTACAGCACTATCAATACAATACAAAAGAAAAAGTCAGTTCAACATTTTGCAAAAAGATCATATCTTTTTCCCATCAGCATCATTCCATCTCGTGAAACACCAGATCCTTCAAAGGAAGTACAACTTCAGATCAAAAGAAGGTAGAACTTCAGATGATGAACTAATATAATAAATTGAGCAGAACTTTCTGCATATCAAATACGTTAGATCAATGTCAAAGAAACTTATACTTACCATTGTCATCCACCTTAACATAGCAAGTCCCAAAGCCTATAGAAATATATACCTGGAGGAAACTTGGTTAAGTTCAAACAAAGAGTACACTATTTATAAGAAAAACAAACATAAAAGAGAAGTACTACAAGGAAGTAAATCTCATGGAAAAATTAAATAATGTTGTGATATAAGAATATTCATTAGGATTTTTTTTTTTTACTTGTGATGCAGTATCATACTAAGAGAAGAAAAGGTACATCAATTTTCGTATAAAAGTCTAAGCGATTAAAATTGTATTAAATCACGACATACCATATTCTCAGCAGCCCAGCCCACCTCTACTGATCCTCAAAACATAAACTTAATCTGAAAACATATATCCCCGTTCTTTAACTTGAATCAATTTTCAACTTTTATGGAACAATCAAATACAAAAGATCGAGACCATGTTCATTTCAAAGAAGATAAAAAGTTTAGACCATGTAAACGAAAATGACCTCTGAGGGTGTATACGGAAGTCTGTCCAATTGAGTGTCTTCATTCAAAATACTACAAATCAAAACCTTTTATAACTAAACTACTAGTTTCTAGAGTTGTGCAAGTGGGGTCATCAACAAGAAAAACCCCAAATCTTTCCATTCAATGCATGGCTTCATAACTCAATTATAATAAAACCAATAAAAACACTACGAGTATCTATCATCATGACTTCATAATTCAATTATATAAAATGTTCACCTCCATGAGGCGACCACTTTCATCTTTGCCGGTGAAAGAAAGGCCAGCATCTTCAAATATCTGCACAGTATCAGGATTCGCTTATAAAGCACATGATAAAGTTTTACCATGCATCCCTTACTAAAAATATCACATCTTATCATCCATATATAATTATTAAATCAGTCCACCTAGATGAGAAATAGTTACACCACAGTTCCAAATTTAAGGAAAAAAAAGTGTTGAACCTCATATCTATGACGGTGCCTCTCATCTAGAGAGCTCTAGTTGACAAATCAGAGAAAAGATATAGTTTAGCCACTTGGTAATATCAATGAGAGAAATCCTCCAGAATAGTGAATGGCTTCAGATCAAGATACATCCAATGCAGTGAGGATGGAGGAAAGGAAGTACTTACAGTTTTGCAGATTTAGAAGCTTCGACTTAATATGTTCTTCTTGATAGAAGACACATGGTACCTCTCATATGTGCTTTTGAACCCTGTGAACATGGTCTACAGATTAATAGAGCCACTACTAAAATGAGACCTCATGAGGATCATGAGGGAAATTCATGTTGAAGGAGAAGTATCTGAACTTATCTTCCGGTATAAAAATTACCCAAGGATTGTCGGTGTTGGGATCAAACTCTGTACAGCTCGCATCTTGCAACCCAAGAATGGATCTATCATACTCGATAACAGCAATTTGCATGCATAGACAGATGCCAGGTAAGGAATCCTGTTTACACAGGCATATTTGACAGCAAGTATTTTACCCTCTACATATCCATCACCAAAATCCTCCAGGAACTAAAACAGCTTCCACCCCTATTAACAGATGACACCGTTAGGCATCACAAGAGTACATAAGATTAAGTAGGGGTACAAGGCGAGAAAAATCAAACTGAAAGTCTAAACCATGTAAAGGGAAGTGGCCAGTAAGAACGTTTATAATCAAACTAATATTTTTTTTAAGTCGTGGGAGTGGAGACTTCAAGAACAACTCCACAACATACCTGCATAGAGGCTGTTGAAAACCAACTCCTCAACAGCCCTTGTGAAATCATACAAGTTCTTGATTTTTTTATAAAGAAAACTACAATCTCTTTGATTTTCTTAATATATGCAACGAACATGTTTATTAGTTTCAGAGGCGTAAGGTGGACTATTGCCTAAAAGGGCAGGTCAGGCTTAAATAAGCTGGAACTATGAGGAGAGTGGTAGCACAGACAAAGATAGATGGAAAACTGTCCCAGCAGTGATACGGTAGACCATTTGGAAGGAGAGAAATTGAAGATGTTATGGAAGTATCAGTAGTCCTCTAAATAGAATTAAAATGAATTGCATCATCACTTTTTGCTATTTGTGTACTTCGAAATATATAGATGATCCTGTAGAAATTGTAAACATCTTAGGATCCTTCTAAGATGAGATCGGACCTAGAGATGGGTTTTATTTTTGGGGGGTTGCTGAGCCTACTCAATTCTATGTAGCTATATGATGTAAATTTTTGGGATCCCAGCCTTAGTGCTGAAGATTTATATACAAACTTGTTACTTTTGTCAAAAAAAAAATGTCGAGTGCAATTGCTCTCACCGACAGAGTTACTTTCAGTCCAGAGATTAGCGAAAGTATCCTCAATAAAGAGAAGGATGACGCACCAACCCTACAATTAATATTATGAATCAACAAATCACCATAAGAGATTCATGAAAAACACATCAAATAGCTTTATCACACTAACACAAGCAGTATCAATGGTACCAACCAAGGGACTTAAATGCTGCACATCATTTCTGGCAATTTGATTGCACTTCTAACATGTAACAAAAATGAAAAAGTGACATGTTCTAATAGACAAACAAGAGCCACACACACACACCTCTTTTTCTTTTCCTTTTTTGAGATAATAATTCAAACTACTCCTCTTAACCTACATATGGTACACAAAGTAGAAATTCTGAGCTGGTGATGACCAGCATTTCTAACAAATAAATAACATGGCTAGAAAATGATTTGGTGTTTTGAAATATAAATTCACAAAAAACAACCCAAGTAATTCTCACAAAACAAAACATAACACAAACTCAATTATACAAAAATAAAACCAAAGACTCAGATTTGTTTCCTGAACTCCATCGATTTGGGCATGTATACCTTCACTGTGTAACGATCAGGACCTGAGATGTATCCTGAAAGCTTGAATGCACCAATGATTGCATTCAATTTATTAAGACAACTCAGATGAATCCCAAACGCACTGGACAGCAGTGGCAAGGAGAAGGAGAAGCACGTCGGCAAAGCAGGTCATCCTCATTCGTCACTGCATGCAAATGAACAAAATCAGTCTTTTTGAGTATCAAAGACGGACATTCAATATCAACAACTTTGAATGAGACACTGGGATGGTCAAGCAGAGACTCTTTTGGAGAATGCAAGACCCTCTTTGGACTTCAAGATTATATATGCAAACCAAAAGATCAATCGGATTAGAGAACAACTTCAGAAGTTAAGTATGTAAATCAATATTTTTTACTTCATATCAGAGTACAGCTTTAGATGTAAGTATGTAAATCGATTAGAAGTAAAGTATGCTTCAACTCCTCAACAATGGGAGAACATTCTGAAGGCAACAATGCATCTCCAACCATAATTGCACCTACGAAAATAAATAAACAAATAAATAGAATGGCAACATCAAGAATCAATCCATCAATTATGCTTTACTCCCAAAATTAGTTTGGCCTGCTTTATTGATCCTCATTCCTCTGTATCTGTTCCACTCTATCAATATCAGAGTTACTGTTCCAACACAAATAAAAACAAAGACATCGGGAGTAAAGAAAAATACCTTAAATCACTTTTTGTTCTAACTCCCTGTTCTTTCTTTTTTTTCTTATGTGGGGATAGGTGAAGGTTAGAGAGCATCAAGGTAACTCCAAATTCATAAATGAAGTATTAACTTAATCTTGCAAGTCTTGTTATTCAGGACCTGATTCACTAATGGGGTACTATCGATGATCCATCTATATCGGCAAACTGTGGGTTGCAAATATATTATTCAGAGAATATGAAACAGCGTTTAAGTAAGAAACCATGAGAAAGACTAGACTAAAATGGAGTAAAATATATGAGCTAGTTCGTGTCGATGGACTAACCCATTGAATAAATTCAAACAGATCCGCATCAGTCAAATTAACGCGTAAAATACACAGAACCAGTATTATCATGAAAACAATCATTTTCTTATGAAACACGTTCAAGAGAATCTTGTTAGCTAGTGGAGTATTTCCTAAAACATGAATGATGTCATAAACAGTGTTCAAATTAAATTGGACGATATTAAAGTTTCAAGGCCTTATAATTGAAAAAGAGAGAACCACTAGTATTGTTTTGCTACAGATGGTATTAGAACAAAAATTATTTTCCTTACAAGTTAGAATTCATAATTCACCTGCTATAATCAACCCAATAAAATATAAAATAGACCTTAAGAGACAACGCAAAGATGACACTAGAAAGGATTAAACCCTCAAAAATCCTTCTTGCTTTCAACAAGACGGAGCATAGAACATATATAAACTGTTATTGATACCTCATAATGGAGTTACTAGCCTAAGAAATGATGCTAATTAACTAGAAAAAATCAGCTCTTATTCAGGTCAGGAACAAAATGGTAGGAATAGTTTACCTTCTTTTGACTCCCATTGCGTGTACTTGTGCACTCCCCTTGAGCTTGTAATTTGCTATTTCAGATGTTAACAAGTTTCATTACCACACTAGACCTTAAGAGAGAAACATCAGGTCGTGTGAAAACTAATATATTTGATTGAGATAATATCAAAAAGAGACCTTACCCTCCCAAGAAATTTGATAGCAGGTCTAGTTTCTGCACAATGGAAAAGAACATTAATTAGTTGTACACATTTCCTGTCATCATTGATTATTAATACAAACAAGCACTAAAGGACAAAATTACCTGGCATGAGTGGCACATAATTTATGACGGTGCCTCTCATCCTACAAAGCTCCGATTACCAAATCTGAGAAAGATATAGTTTATCCACTCAGTAATATCGATAGCAGAAGTCCTCCAGAATGGCTTCAGATCCTCAGATCAAGATATAGCCAATGCAGTGAGCTTGGAGGAAAGGAAGTATTTACAGTTTGCAGATTTAGAATCTTTTGACTTGAAAATAAGCTCTTCTTGATCCAAGATGCATGGTACCTCTCATATGCGCTTCTGAACCCTGTGGACATGGTCTACAGATTAATATAGCCACTACTAGAATGAGACCTCAAACACATGAAGATCATGGGGGAAATTCATGATGAAGGGGAAGTATCAAAACTTAACTTCCGGTACAAAAATCACCCAAGGATTGTCAGTGTTGGGATCAAACACGGTACTGTTCGCATATTGAAACCCAAGAATGCATCTAGCATGATCGATGGCTTCATAGTTCAATTATAATAAAACCAATAACAACACTACGAGTATCGATCATGACTTCATAATTCAATTATATAGAACGTTCACCCCCATGCAACAACCACTTTCATCTTTGCCACTGAAAGTAAGGCCAGCATCTTCAAATTGTTACATCATATCAGGATTCACCTACATAGTACATGATAAAGTTTTAGCATGCATCCCCTTGCTAAAGATATCACATCTTATGGTCTACATATAATTATTAAACCAGTCAACATGGATGAGAAATAGTTACACCACAGTTCCAAATTCCAAGAAAGAAAGTGTTGGAACTCATAATTTAGATAGCTCTAGTTGCCAAATCAGAGAAAAGATATAGTTTGGCCACTTGGTAATATCATTAGGAGAAGCCCTCCAGAATGGCTTCAGATCAAGATACAGCCAATGCAGTGAGAATGAAGGAATGGAAGTTCTTACAGTTTTGCAGATTTAGAATCTTTGACTTGAAAAATACGTTCTTCTTGATCCAAGACGCGGGGTATGTCTCCTATGCGCTTTTGAACCCTGTGAACATGATCTACAGATTTATATAGCCACTACTAAAATGAGACCTTTCAAACACATGAAGATCATGAGGGAAATTCATGATGAAGGAGAAGCATCCGAACATAACTTCCAGTATAAAAATTACCCAAGGACTGTTGGTTTTGGATCAAACTCTGTACTGTTCCCATCTTGCAACCCAAGAATGGATCTATCATACTTGATAACAGCTATTTGCATGCCCAGACATATGCCCAGGTAAGGAATCATGTTTTCACGGGCATATTTGGCAGAAAGTATTTTACCCTCCACACATCTAGCACCAAATACTCCAGGCAGCTTACACCCCTATTAACAGATGACTCCGATAGGCATCCCAAGAGTATACAAGATTAAGTAGGGACACTAGGCGAGAAACAATCAAACTCAAAAAGTCTAGACCATGTAAAGGAGAGTGGCAAGTAAGAACGCTTATAATCAAACTACTAAATTTTTTTAAGTTGTGGGAGTGGAGACTTCAAGAACAACTCCCAACTTACCTGCATAGAGCAACAGCCCTCGTGAAAATCATACAAGTTCTTGAACTTATCAAGAAACCTACAATCTCTTTTACTTTCTTAAAATATGCATCCAAGCACACACAATGAGAGAATGACAACCTAATTTATTGAAAAAAAGAAAAGATTTGTTGATATTGCAATGCTAATACATTCTTGATAACTATAATTTCTTTGTTTTTTTAACATACGCATCTAAGAATGCGAAAGTAATTTTAAAAACACAACAAGTTCTTTGATTTGTTTTTCTTAAATGAATGCATGCAACGGCAAGAATTCCAAGAAAAACCTGACATTATCAAGTTCTCCAATTATCCTTTTTTTCCTTCTTAATGGATGGATGAAGCAGATAACATCGGCGGCAAAACTGATTTGTGGTTTAGGGTTCTAATTGGACATCTATCCGGTGGCGCAATCTAAGATGCGCCGGTAGCGCCGGTGTATGTGATGCTGGTGTCTGACTGTTGAGTGTATTTATAGCGTTTGGATCACGCGGAAAAATAAAAATACGCGGAATAACAAAAAAATAAAAATACGCGGTAAAAACAGATCTATTTTTTAATTATTAAAATATATAAATTATTTATGCGCTTTACGTTGAATTAATAATTAAAAAATAAGTATTTAATAAAAACGATTAAATAGGAAAGAAAATTATATTAAAATTGATAAGTAAAAGTAAAATTTAAATAAAATAAAAATTATCTGTTTTAGAAAATTGTATGAAGTAAAAATAAAATGAAACTAAAGTTATAATTACTGCCAAAGCGTTTGACTTATGTCCTGTTACAAATATATGGCTTTTTGGATGAGTAAAGTGTAAATTAATGAAATTTCTCTACAATATTATTTTTGGAAAGTTGATCGCTTTCAATTTTCTTCTTTCCTTCTTCGTTTCCAGTGCCGCCCGGCCCCGGCTGTCGGACTATTTCTCCGATCAAATTTCCGGTAAGAGTCATTGATTTATAATCTCTCATCGCGGTGGTCTTCAAACATATGACTGAAACAAAGTGAAAAAGAAAATAAAGAAGAGATGCTAGGAATTTCATACGGAGAGCTTTTTCTCTTGCTTGGCGCTACTGCTGCTCTTATTGGTACTTTCCCCTCATTTGGATTTTCCGGAATAATATGCTGCGGCTTTATAATCGAATTTAGACGTTAATTTGACCATTTTTAGGTGATATCTTCACGTAATTTCTTTAAATTTTGAAAAATATTTGTAGGTGATAATTAAAGTAGATTACTAATTATCTATTGAGTGATTAAATTTTGATAGCAAGGGTATGCAAACCATCAATTATGCTTCAGTTTCAAACTAGTTGAGCTAGACTATATAAGTGTCCTGTATCAGTTTTGCTTAATCAGTCTCAGACCTTATTTCATTTGATGTGGAGTATGAATAAGTTGATGGTTAAAAGTCTCTTAATTTTGACCTTAGAATTGACAGTTTAAGAAGGTATTGATTGCTATAGCTGTATTATGGAATTAATCACTTTGTTCGTTGTAATTGCTACCCGTGGTTGTTAATTTCTGCAAATTTTAATGGGAAGTATCTTGTTCTTTATGGGTTTAACATTTTCTTAATAAAATAAATTGTGAATTTAGGACCTAAAGATCTGCCAATCATAGCAGGAACAGCAGGCAGATTTGTTGGGCGTGCAATTGGTTATGTTCAATTAGCCCGTGGTCAGTTTGAAAGTGCCATGCAGCAGTCGCAAGCTCGCCAGGTTTCTTACTGCCTGAATCTTCCCAACTTCCTTTTTTGTTTTTAAGCTTTCCTAGTGTTAGAATGCATTGGTATGACTAGCTAAAACTTCTATGCTGCTTCATAAATTTCAATTTGCAATGATGACAAGTGTTTCGTGTCTATGTAGAGGTTTTCTCTTTCTCTTTTAAAAGTTGAGTTTTTTGCTTCATAACTTAAACTGATGGACTTTGTTTTTGCTCTTAAGCTTATTGGCTAAATTATGCTTTGTATCAGAATTGCTTGAAATGAGATGTAACCACTTATTCTTTTGTCCTTCATCTCAAGTTGTTTATCAGGTTCATAAGGAACTGCAAGATACCATGGCTCAACTGGAAGCCATACGTCATGAAATTCAGACAATTTCTTTTATGAATCCTGGTCCATTGACATCGAGGCTTGTAGACAGCATCAACACAACAACTGCAAATAGTGCTGGTATTTCTTTATTTTTGACTGACATGATTGATTATAGGCTTTTCTTTACTAGTTTCTCATTTGTTCTTCTTTTAACAGTTGAAAATGGACCTCGAAAATCTGATGAAGAGAGCATCATTGTTGAAAAGGGACCTCAAATATCCGAGAAGGAGCGTACGGTAGCAACTGTCACACCTGAGGTTTTGTGGTTTCCATGAATATTATTTTCATTATCTTTTCCTTGCTTTTCAAATGGAAATGTTTATATAATTAATAATTATCAGGATCATCGTTCAAGGAGAGCTTTGACCGACATGCACAGCCAAGCCGCTGCATATGCTAGATTGGCTGAAACGACACCTTTGAAATCCATTTCTGTAGATAATGAAGGTCTGAGAGAGCTGACTGATGAATCTGGCAATATTATTGTGCTCTATGTCTCTGCAGAGAGTGCAGGGTTGTTGCCAAAACGTAATTGTAAGGAACCATTTTTGAGATTCTGATTGCCTAATGCTTCTTTTTAGTATATGCCCAGTTGGTCCTATTATCCTGCATACAGAATAGTTTTCTGCTCTTTGGTTTATGTACTTGCTACACCATAAGACTTGAAAATGATGTGCATTTCTAAAGGTTCTAGACAGAATCTTTGCAGAAATTTTATTGGCGTTAATTATCTTACAACTGCTGGTTTTGTCTGCTGTTGCCATTTGCTGTCTACTGAAAAGATATGTTTAAAGATGCTGTAAAATTAAACAATCTCTAAGATCTGGTGTACAATGATGGTACTGCCCCAAATTCTGATATTTGGTCTTGTACCTGTAAAATAAAAATTACAGCCAAGTTGACATATTTACAATATATGGTTCAATATTATCTGATTCTAGTGGAACTTGTTGCTAACTTTGCTAGAGATGGCGGTAGTGACAAGGAACTGCCCTCCTTGCAGAAGCTAAGGTTCAGATTTGGAACTTTAGGATTAGAGGTCACATTAGATCCATTACTCCTACCTTGTCGCTGATATCTTCGTTTTTAATCTTATCTTTCCTAGTAATTATTTGAAATACTTGAACTAATGTCCTTCCAAAGGTACAAGTAAAATTGGATGAGATCAGTATTGCGGTCTTTGACTTGGTATTGCTGAAGTGAGGATGTCTTAGAAGAAGGAGATTAGGTGTGGTTAGATTAAGTCACTACCAAAAAGTTCAAGTTATTGTGATCAGAATTAGAATTAGCCGAAAGCACATTCCAATGGCCATTTCTGCATTACAAATCATGTTGTCTTATATGTGATGGGTGATAAGGTGGCAGCTGTCATATGTATGTCAATCTGTCATATTGTTTGAATGGGTTTCCGATCGAGTTGATGTTCTGACATCCCAAATCGAGGTGGCTCTAAACTCGGGTTGTGTACCTCTCTAGTTACAGAGAGAGGAGAGGGGCAGTGAAGCCTTGATTCGAGCTAGAAATCTCGCAAGAGAACTAGCCATATCGATCTAGATGGTGTAAATACTAGCTTGTGCGCACCCTGAGTATTCCACCAGCTACGTTCTATCTTCCAACAACATAGATACTAGGTAACTCTTCCTACCAAGGATTAGATATAGACAAATGGAAAGATATCACCTAATATTTTTTGCCTATGTTGGTTGTGACAATCTTATTCTGCAAAACTAGATATTGGGTTTTCTAGAACGAAGAAGAATCAGACTTGCGACTGCCCCCCAAAAACTACCATGTGAATAAGCCCATCGATCTAGATGGGATAGTTTGTTTTTACATGCATTTTAGCTGCAAAATGAAGAGTCAAATTTTCTTGACAATCAACTTCAATCTCCCACCCATGCTCTGTGCGCATACAACAGTTTGTTTAATAATTTGTTGAGATTTATCTTCTTTTGTTAATAGTTTTGGTTCTTCCAGATGAAGCAAAGGAGTCTGACATTGTGTTGGAAGCGATACTGGAGGCAGAAGTGGCAAATAATGCCAAAGAGTTCTTCTCGCAGCCACCAAACCAAGTAAAAAGTGAATGAAGAGGTTATATTTCCTTCCCTCTGCATGAATAATGATTGCTTTTTATTCACGAGTACACACATATAGTTCAGACATAGTCTAATTAACTAACATGTATGCGCATTATGTCTTTGCAGTTATGTGAAAATTAACTTATAGGTATGATCTTTGATACGTGTATGCTCTTATTCCAGGTACATCTGAAGAAGATTTACGCCATTAGAGGTCAGAAATCAGCTTCATGCCAAGGGAGCCTGATGAAAGATTGCTAAAGACTCAATGAATTTAGCCCATTCGAGTCTCTTGTTGTGGTTTTGGAGCCATGATACCTCGTTTGTTCAGATATCATAGGCATCTAAAGAACATATGACCCGTGTTGCCACAAGGGAAACTACTAATATTGTTTGACAAATGGTTTTCTGCAACCAGTTCTACCTATTTCTTAACCTTCTAATCGTGTCCCGTGTTGGCAGATGCTTGGATTTTTGGAGTTCTTTCATGGTATATGTACAGTTGCAGATGAACTTCTTTGCATAATTGGCAGAAAACTGTTGAAGTAATATAGTAGTGTAATCCCTTAATACTAGTGTCAGGTATAACAGTTAGGTGGTGTAAATAATCGAAGGTCAAAAACTGAAAAGAATGGCTAAGAGTTCTGTTATAGAAAACTACAGAAGTTTGTTAGTTAAGGGGGAAGTTCCGTTTCAGTGTTTTAAGAAAGACGTATGATTGCTGTGTTTATGAGAGTTGCTCTTATTTCATGTTCGCATATTTATCACTTTATAACCAAATCATGGCTGTTGATGGTCAATAGCGGTGGAGACTAAGACTAAGCACTAAACAGTCATTGTATTGACTTTCGAAAATTGGTCAAAATGATCATAAAAAAACATATTAATGAGATTTCACTAAATTTTCAGCTTTCTAATGGCCATGATAAATTTTCTCCATGTTGAATGCCTTGAATTGGGCCCTTAATTATATGTCAATTCTGTATGTTCGGCCCAAGCCTGTTAGAGCCTAGCACTATATATAGACGCTATGGCAAACCCTATTCTGTAATTTTGTTTTTGCCTCTCCATAATAAAACTGCTCCCCCTCTTCCCGTGGACGTAGCCAATTTATTGGTGAACCACGTAAATTTGTTGCTTTGATTTTCGCATTTATATTTTCTCGTATTATCTCGAATTCCGCATAACAAATTGGTATCAGAGCCTCTCGGTTAATCGGTGTTCTTGGAGAATTCGAGATGTCTGCTTTGAACGTGAAAATCGACAAATTCACAGGA